GTTTTTTTCTTGTCCTCAATAATCAGCTTCTCATTATTCCCTTGCCAAACATAAGTTGTTTATAAAGTAATATATTCAGAGTTGGCATTGAAATGTGAGATTTTCTATCCGATTACATCACCAATTAAAAATCGCTTACGATTTTCAAAAGCTTGTTGAAAACAAATTCACGAATACGTGCCTGTTAAGCCATAGTTAATATTATTGAAATGCAAAATACGCGCATCGGTTTAGATATGACGGATATGAAATGTGTTTACAGTATATTCAGATAAGAGATAGACCGGATGTAAACAAAAGGTTCGGGTGATTTTCACGCTAACGCCGCCGTCTCGACGTAAAACAGGAGCCCTCATTGGTCAATTCGCAATTAAATGCCTATGCCGAGCGGCAGAGCAGTCGTATCAAGGCAGAGTCACATTCAGGTTCAGACGTGTTACGTATGTCGTGTGCATCATTGCAATTTGATATTTCTTTGGACGTTTTCGTTTGTTATCTTATTAAGTTGTTGAGTTTGTCGTTGTTATTGTTATACCTTGTTATTGATTGTTATTGTTATCAACTGCTTGCGCAAAATACCCAGTAGTACAGATACTGCCGATGAAGTTGTAAACTCCTGTAGTCCACCTAGGAAACGCTCTAACAAAAGACACCTGAGTGCAGAAATGAAAGAGGTCATTTTGAATATATATAAGATCGAGCGCGAGGAGAACGAGGCATCAACCATCAAAGAAATTGTTGTGAAGGTTTCTCACAAAGTTGGGGTGTGTCGCGCATCAGTGTTTAATGTGTTAAGACAATACAAAAAAAATCACTCCTTTTCTGAGCCAATGACCAGTAAACATCGCAAAAGTATTGTTAAATCATTGGATGAAGCTGATAAGCATGCGATTAGGAGGAAAGTGCATGAATTCTTCTTTAGGAATGAAATACCTACTATAGATAAAGTACTGCAGGAGGTAGATGGAGATACAACGTTGCCAAACTTCAAACGATCAACTTTCCATGCGTTACTGAAGCATTTAAATTTCAAATGGAAAAAACGGGGTCGTAATAGTTTACTACTGGATAGAGAAGAAATTGTGCTATGGAGGAGGGATTATTTAACAAAAATTGGGAAATATAGAAATCAAAACAGAAAGATTTATTACCTTGATGAAACGTGGGTAAACGCAGGACATACTACAAGTAAAGTATGGGTTGATGATTCTGTAACTTCATCCAGGAGGGCCTTTCTAGATGGACTGTCCACCGGATTAAAAAATCCAGCAGGTAAATACGAGTAATAGACAACAATCGGATATTTTTCAAACCTTGGGAACAAGGTTCTAAACATTAATTCCAGGGGGCAGATAAAACATATTACAAGTAACAAAACTTTTATAACTTTCGATAAAATGCGTGGATGTTTTATTGTCATTTTCATTTGTTAGAACTTTTTTAAGCCATCTTTTTATGTGTTTTCGATATTTCAATAATTTTTTAATATAATCTTAAAATATGTCGAATATTATAAACTTAAAAAAGTTACTAAGTTTTATATTGTGTACCGTTCCTAATATTTCTAATCATTTTAATTCATACTTTAAGCTTTATAAAGTTGTAATTTGTTAATATTAATATTTGCGCGTATTTCAGGTTCCTGATCATTCATTTTTTAAAGGTTTATAACTTTAAATTAAATTGTGAAGCGCTGAGTAATCATACGACGTTCAATATTCTTTCTTTCAATATGACTAAATAATCCCAATTATAGCAATCTGATACTCATGTATCAATGTTTTTTCGCTGAATGTGATGAAAACATTTGAAAAAGGTTCGCTTATTGAAATAAATCTACACCACTTGTTGACGGTCTGTGGTGCTTTGAGTCTAAGAAAACTGGAGATTACCACGAGGAAATGAATGGCGAATCGTTTGAACAGTGGTTTTCAAAAATTTTACCGAACTTAGAGGAAAACGCAGTAATTGTGTTGGATAATGAATGCGCCTTATCATTCTCGAAGAATGGAGAAGGTCCCAACAACGGCTTCAAGGAAAGTTGATGTTCAAAATTGGCTCCGCTCGAAAAATATCAACTTTGAAGAAGCAATGCTGAAAGTACAATTAATAAGAATTGTCAAGGATCACAAGGCGGAATATCAAAAATACGCCATTGACGAAATGGCAGCAAGTCAAAATAAAACTGTGCTCCGTTTACCTCCATACCATTGCGAGCTCAATCCCATTGAGCTCATATGGGCAGAGGTTAAAAATTATATAGCTAAGCACAATACAACTTTTAAATTTTGTGACCTCAAAGGACTTTTCAAAGAAGCACTAGAATTAATAACAGCGCAAAAATGGGAAAACTGTATTAAGCACGTGAAAGACAAAGTTGAAAAGAGAATGTGGGAACTGGACAATATTTTAGAGGAAAAAGTCGAGCCATTCATTATTGACGTTGGTGCTTCAGGCAGTAGCGATGATGAAAGCTCATCAAGCTCATCTTTCCAATAAAAGATGTCGTTCATCAAATTCGGTAAGTTATAAGTAATTATAAAGCTACTGTATTTTTTAATTAATTATTGACATTTTTGAACCCATTTTGGCAAAACCTATTCAAGAATCTACTTTCTGACAATGTTCAACCATGCACATTTTTTTACGTTTTGAACGTTTTAATTTGGTTACATATTTACCTAGAAATCAAAAAATATACTAATCAATATTCTAAAAGCAATTTTAAGAGATATACGATTATTTTTAATTTAGGCTAATTTAAACGCCATTTTGAGATTATATTCGACTGTATTTCACCAAACATCAGGTGGCATCCGAAGCTGGAAATCGAAGCGAAAATTTTGAAACCCTTATGTATATTTACATCATTATATATTTCTTACCCCACCCCCACATGATCCTATATCCATCACCAATCGTATACACATCGAATTGTGCTAATTTACTACAAAGTTACGCAAAGCAGCATCTACTATGTAAAATATGTACTGCGTGACTCTTAATACGTCCCTGCCGAATGTTACAGCGTTCGATGGTCACGTGGTCTTGTTTATGTCCGGTCTATCTCTTATCTGAATATACTGTAGAAACCTGCAACATCGTCTCAGTTTCAGCTTTTTTTCTTGCTACGGCGAGGAAGAATTTTTTATTATGTTTTTTGGATGTTATATGACATATACAGGGTGGCCAACTAAGAATGCGAGGTACTGTATCTAGGAACCTATCAATCGTAGAGGCTTGCGGCAAAAAAATTCTTACTAAAGCGGTCAAGAGAAAAACATGGAAAATATTGTCGAGTTTCTGAAAAGGCCGTAACTGCAATGTTGAATCTAAAAAAGTGATGTTTCTGTTAATTTCGATATATCAACGTAACAAAAAATATATGACCTTTAAAGTAGAGGATAATTCGAACGTTTTTTGTTTGACAATTTTTGCTGTAGCTCTAAAAATAAAATGGTGGGGTCATTCAAAGGTTTCTGTAAAAAACACCCTGTATCTTCGATACGGCTACAGCGATTTTAGCAAACTTAAGCTAGATGGAAAGAGCTATTTTTGGGCTACAAATGTTATGATATGTAATGTTTTTTCGGTTTCACAAATGTTATGATATTTGATGTTTTTTTAGTTTCACATATGGCCGCTATAGAGCTTTCTTCGACATTCCGATAGATATCAATCAAATCAAATGCATTGCTATGAAAAAGTAGCTAAATGATGCCTAAACAAGCTCACGAAAACCGCATCCTGATATCTTGGTCCTAACCTAAGATTTAGGCCAAAGAAATTTTTATACGGAAATCCTTTGAGTTTTAATTTTTTAAAACAAATTTGTCTGGAATTATTTTTTCGTCTCCGAAAGTGCATTCAACACTTTGACCCTCTAAGTGCCATTTTCTTCGTTATCTGAACGGTGAGACTCAAAGTTGAAACACCCGGTATATTTAAACGCTCTTCTTGAACCCCCGCTGCGAAAATGACGTCTGTGCTGCATTTTTAATTAAGGCTGGACATACGAAATTTTAATTCCTTATTAGAGCAAGCGGCGCGGTCTTTTTCCGTAAGCTTTTTCATTTTTCAACGTGAAATTATACGCTTGGTAGCGCGGAAGAATGTTAATTTCGAAATTTACATTAAATTTATGACAGTTGTCATTTACGGGGATTGAGACGCTGCTTGATATTATTATTTACATGAAATAACAGGGCTCGTTCAGTTTCTGTGTTGATTGTAATGACGGGGATTTTGTTACTGAAATAGACCTTTTGATGCACATAAAGATACGCCTTCATTTGTTCTGTTTATGAAATACAGGGTGTTAATTAAATTTGCATCATAAATTCATTGAGTAATTTGAGTCCACACATCCCACACATGTTTCACTCGGGGAGTTTTGAAATGCAATAATCAGCTGTATTCGAATAATGTCTAATATAAATATAACCTAGAATGTGTACTCGTGAAAAAAGAAAAATATGGCAAATTTGTAGTTTTTTTGCAGGTTTTAGGTTTGCTGGTAGCTTTAACGCATATATTTGGGAATTTCTTAATCGCTGTGAATATAGTGTGGATGTTTGTTCAGTTCTCTCTTGAGTATATTTTCCATGACTTTATGGTAGGTTTCGGGAGGAATATTTTCAATCGCTTCCGTAATATCGTTCTTCAACTGGTCATGATCGACTGTACAACCTTGCATCTTGCAGACGGTCGAAGCCCAACTCAGGCTTAATGGCAACATTCGCAATGAACAAGGTGAGAAAGCAATACCTTGAAAAAGTATCTGCCTTCGTCTGCTACAGAAGATGTATAAAAGAATTTGTCAATCCTGGCGGTCCTAATAAGGATAATGGAAGACTGTTATCAAATGATTGCATTTACATCGGTTCTTGAAACGTGTGCGAAGTTTCAAATTAATCAAACTTCTGGAAATTATGCTCAAAGATTCCATTTCATACATACATACAGGCCAAGCCAATAAAAGCGTGTTGAAAATCGTTTCCTTACCGATGGTCCCTGAGATGGTCCTGCCTCCTGAACGCCTTCCCGCAAATATCGCACGAGTACGGTCTCTCGTCGGTGTGCGTCCTCTCGTGTATCAACAGGTTGTAGCTCTTGGTGAACTGCCGGTTGCAGAATTTGCAAATGAACTGCTTCTTGGGGCGCGACGCGCGTCCCGGGGCCCTTAGCAGACGCCTGTCGAGATGTGCGTGCATTTGGGGGGGTCCGGCGGGGAACAGTGCCCCTGCCGCGCCGGCTGGGAACGTAAAGGAAGCCGCGGGGTTCGCTGGAGAACCGGGGAGGAAACCGGAGTACGAGTGAGCCTGAAAAATGCAAAACATCGTTTAGGATACAAGTATCTAATTAATCGTTCACTTATTGTTTGTAAGTTTTTCTGAAAAACCTGTTTCGTTTATTTTTCAAAAAGTTCATCTAAATCATCGAAATGGTATCTAAATCTCGTCTCCTGTAATATTATTACAAATTTGTTCTCACTATTGACTGCAACGCACCACTAACATCAAAGAAACAAACCTGTGATCCGGCTTGCGCGTCCAACATGGCGGGCGGGGGCCCAGGTCTGTGGGGCAGCATCAGGGCAGCTGCATGAGCGGCAGCTACGCAAGCTGCTTCCTCTCGAAGCTGCAGCTCTTTGCGTTTGTCGGCCATCATCGCCATCAGGTCGAAACCGCTAGAGGAGGACTTTCTGCTGAAGCTGGAACAATGGGGAAAATATAAGAAAGCGAAAGCGATGTACAACATCGACTACATATAATTTGTCTTTTTAGTTTTATGGTTGGTTAAAGTTCTTTTTCGGTAGAAAAATTTAGAAATATCTGGATTAGTTTAGGTAGATAAAGTCTCATCTGTATCAGACGCAAACTCAGTCCTATACACGTCACTGTTCCCGTGTTTTTTCAAAATACTTCATGCCCCATCTAGCGGCGTTCAAGTGAAAGGTATCTTTTCGTTGCACCACGTCGCCTCGTAGGCAGTTACCACGGTACCACCGTGTAAGAACAGCAGCCTGTATACGATTTTTCGGATGAGCGATAAGAGATAGGCTGCTACATCCTATCCAAATCCATGATACACGCAGCGATTCTACTTTTCATATATTTTGACAATATTCACCTTTGCCCAGAAGTGCTGGCACCATCGCCTCCTTTGCCCTCGCTGCGATCTCTATTTTCCCGCATCAGTTCCTGACCCAAGAGAGGATGGATTTCTCCCGGGTACAACATGTGCACGTTTCGAGATGGTACCACCGGAACGAAAGCTGAGCTTTCCCTGTGATGACTCATTGCGCTTTGTAAAGGTGGGATCTGGAACAAAATAAAAGAAAATATGGTTAGACGATGTCGCAAAAATAATTAGGCATTTGGGAACTATTGACCTTTTGGTCTTTAATCGAAAAGACTTGTTTGTCTAAGCACTGGTGGTATTAAGAAAAAACGGCGACAAGATTACTTATTTCGTATGACTTTTTGCTGTTACCACCAGGATCTGTGAAAAGATCTGAACTGAATTCAGTTCAGTATAAATGTAGCGTTTTATGAACATTTTATGTCAGTTTGGCAACGCCGCCTCGGTAAATGCAGGGTCGAAACGCGCAGGTTCACGGCAGAATGTCGGGTCATCTATGAGCGAATCGTCAAACCAAGGACGGATCCCAATTAGATCGCTGTTTTTTGTCGTTCGCAAAGTTTTGTTTACTTCATCTACCCTTACAGCTAATGATGTTATAGAATTAATATAATTGAATTCGGATCTGGTGCATAAGATATGGGACAATCTGCGTACGCCCTTCTATCATTACATCGTCCCGAGTCGTCGACGACCCTGGTGCGCTGAGGTACAACGTCGCGGCGTTGCTGAATTCAGATCAGACCCTCCGTAGGTGTTTCTTGATAGCTGGTATTGCTGGAGTCACAAACTTTAATACTATGCGAAATATGTGGGTAATTCTACTGGGATCACGGATTTCTTAATAGTAAAAGGCGTAACCCTTTATGAGAATAAATGCACTTATAACAATTTAAGAGTCGTGCCCGTAAGTCTCCAGCGCCCACAAGGAGGAGTTATCGCCCACTTTGAGAAAGACTGGTTCAAATGAAAGCAAAAACGCACCCTCCCTAACGACTACTTTTTACATCGTTACTATGTGGCAAATTTTACAGCCGTTCTTACATAATGCCATGCAAATCATGCTAAAGTATCAACATTAACACGTTAAAATTAAATTGATAATCGACGCCGAAGCAATATCTGTAACATCTGTCGACATGTGAACGGCTTCCGTAAAGATACAAGTCAGATAATGAAATTAATGGAATTAATAAACGTGATAAAGACGTGGTTGGTAATGATATGGCAGCTGTTGCATAAACACAGGGTGACTAGAAAAAACAGTGGCAGAAGAAATGGAAGGTGCATCGAAAAATATACGTAAAGTTAGCGAAATGTCAAGGGCATTCTAGTCCATTTCACTAAAACGAACTAGTTCTAGGAGTTAGTTACGTTATAATGCCAGATAACGCGTTAGTTAGTAGGTTAGTAATCGCGCGGTTCTTCCAACACATGCCAGCAAGATGGGATGAAGAGTCATTGGAACGTTTTCGATAACTTTAGATAAAGCTTTGCGATATAGTATTTTCAGAAACAAAGCATTACCTCTGTTTACTTAAAACACCATCTTTTGATCACATGCTTGACTTTAAAACACCCTCTATAATAACGAAGACTTACTTGATGATGATATGACAGCTGCTGCTGGGCGGCAGAGTTGTCGTAACGTCCACCAGATGGCGACCGGCCTGTGCTGCTTCCGGGGGAGGGGAGGGGGAAATCGCGACGCGATAACGCCAGAGGGCGATCTTCGCTCGATGACGTGGTGACAGTCGGCGGCGTTGCCGCCACTGTTTCGGGCATCTTTTATCTGAAAACAAGAAGAAAATATAAAAAAATTGGATCAAAGCAAACGCACAATAAAAATGGTATAGGTATCTTTTTCGAGAAAATGCCCAAACCTTTGTTGTACTTGGAAATTTACATACAATTTGCATCGTCGCTTTTCCGATTTTTGAGCTGCGTAAGGTTAATACAACGTGGAAAAGCCTCCTCACGAAAGTGGTGAGGCACTGCGAAAATGTTTGCATTTCTATGATGTGGCTTTAAGGGTGAGTGAATATATTTATTTTTTGAAATAAAGCCTTTGATATAGCTTTGAACATAACCTCTCATTTGAAAGGACAACCTTTTATGGATCGTTTATGGAGCATCTCTACCAAGAGTCCAACAGTAGTCTGCAAGCATGGAAGGATTCCACTTTCCCTGGTACCTATTTTCCATTGTTGAAACATCCTGATGAAAACGTTCGCCGTGCTCATCACTTACGGCTCCGCAATTGTCAGGAAAAAAGTCCAGGTGTGAGTGTAGGAAATGTATCTTAAGAGACATATTACAGCCCATCTTTTGATACGGTGACAGCATATTTTTGACAAGGGTTTTATAGTTGTCAGCTTTTCTATTTCCCAAGAAATTAGTGACCACCAGATGGAAATCATCCCAAGCAGTTTTTTCAATACCTGTTAAAGTGTTTTCAAACTGTGTATCTTTCAAAATATTTCGAATCTGTGGCCCAACAAAAATACCTTCTTTAACCTTTGCCTCACTTAGTCTTGGAAATTTCTGACGCAGGTATTGAAAAGCTGACCCATCTCTATCTAATGCCTTGACAAAGTTTTTCATGAGGCCCAACTTGAAATGCAGTGGTGGTAATAAATTTTTTTTTCGAATCTACTAATGGCATATGCTGTATATTTTTTTGACCTGGCTCTAGGAATTGACGAACAGGCCAGTTTTGTCTGGTGTAATGAAGTGCCTTTGCCCGACTGTCCCATCCACACAAAAAACAGCAAAACTTTGTGTAGCCTAGCTGCAGCCCAAGTAAAAGTGCAACAACTTTCAAATCGCCACAAATATGCCATTGGTGCTCATCGTATTTTATGCATGTCAATAGGTACTTCATATTGTCATATGATTCTTTCATGTGAACTGCATACCCTACAGGAAGAGATGGTAAAATATTTCCAATATGCAATAACACTGCCTTTAAACTCAATGTTGAACTGTCTATAAACAATCTCCATTCTTCTGGGTTATAGTTTATATTTAAAGCCGCCAGTAAGCCGTTAATGTTACTGCAGAAAACCAAGTTATTCTCCATATTGAAAAATGGTTCTAAGTCTTTGTGGCGTTTACGAAAAACACATACCGAAACATCGTCTTCTAACAAGTTCCACTGCTGCAGTCTTGATCCAAGTAACTCTGCCTTACATTTTGGAAGTTCTAAATCTCTTACAAGATCATTTAATTCTGACTGTGTTATTTTGTGCGGTTGGTGGCATGACGTGCTCGGTATAAAATCAAGATCTCTTGACGTTGATGGCATATCTTCTTCCTGACGAATCACTCGATCGCCATGATCTGATTCGTTTTCTGATTCGCAAGTGTAGGATTCTGGGGGTTTTGGAATAGGATTTTCGTCACTGTGAGGCACAGGTCTCATCGCAGATGGTATGTTTGTGTAGTTAATAACTGATTTTTTTTCTTGGACATACCTGTGGCTTGTCCAACACAAGGTACCATGCAAAAGTAACAATCATTAATATGATTTGTAGGCTCTCTCCAAACCATTGGGACAGCAAAGCGCGTAGACCGTTTTTTGCCATTTAACCAGCTCCTCAGACTTGAAGCACATGTATTACAGCAGATGTGGGGTGCCCACTGTTTGTCTTGATCACCTAGTTTACAACCGAAATAAAGCTGATATGCCTTTGTTATCAGTGGAGTAATAGACCGTCTCTGAGACGCAAAAGTCACATCACCACACACGTAACAAAACTGATCTGGATTGTTTACACACTTTCGAGACATCTTGCATGAACGCTGTCAGCCAACTGAGGAAAAAATGGCTAATATAAAACAATATATAATGTACACGTATGTATAACGTAACACAATCATGCCGATAACATCATCTTTCCTTGCCGAATATAAAAATGTAGCACGTGCATTCTTGTGAATTTCAGTATATTAACACTGTCACAGCAGGAACACATATAATTACCGTATCTCTAAAACTTGAACTAATATTGAAAAAATAAGTTTCATTCCGGTTTTAGCACATTAAAAATAGTAATATTTTGTTAATTTTATTTAGGATATTTTTTGGCTGTTGATCAGTGTAATTTATTTTGCTAGATTATCCCAGGACCATCGAGGAAAATACGGACCTGTACAATCTCGTTTTTGTTCATGTTGTGTTTTGTTTGGGCGTAAATGAATTACGAATGGGGTATAGTACATTTTGTCGTTTTTTTGACATCATATATATTTTTTACGTTATAATCTTGCCGTATTAAAATCAATGCCAGACCTGCATGTTTCACGAATTGTCTGGAAACGTTACTCGTTCCATCTCAATGTAGCTTAAAAAGTTGAGTATCATCTCCGCATCTAGCGTCACCTGTGAATCCCGACAGGTACGCGAGATCCAGTTTTTGTTTACATTGACTGTTTATCTTTCTATTATAGAAACCACGGTGTTTGCTTTCGCATTCTTCGAACGGCTAGCGGCTAAGCGGCCAACTTTGTTTGCTTTGAAGATGGTTTTCCTAGAGAGTCGAAAGTCGAAAGGATGGTACTGTGTTCGTTTCTTAACGGGTATTATATCCGTTTTGAATAAGACGATGTACATTGACGTTCTTTAGACTTAAATTAATAGCATTAGATTTTAGTGACGTGCTTTCTAGTTTATTTCCGTGCACAACTTGAAAAGCTGTATACATACATCTAGAAACCAAAATTGACGTATCGGAGAGTTTTTCCCAAAATATACGAGGAGAGTCACAAATATGGGTGCGACCTTATCGTTGGGCCACCCTGTACAAATAAATACGTAGCGTTCACTTAAACGAACTGGTTCTAGAAAAGGTGGTAGAAAATAGCAAAAGTATGACCCAGATTATTTGAGATGGTCACAAAACGTTTGTGCCTTATAGCGACATCTTTGAGGAAGGAATGTATGAAAGGCGAATGCAGTTCCAGAAATAATATTTTTGAATGGAAATTTGTAGCTAATTCACATTTTAATATTGTTTTAATTTCTTTAGCATCAATGAGTGATATGTTGTATAAAAGCTATCTAATTCTTCGGTATCTACAAAAGCAGGCCATACTATGCAGCCTAAGGAGTATTTTTGGTTGAATATGGCTCGTAATTATTTTCTTAGAGAGTAACAAGGTTATTTATCTGAACTCACGTTCCCATAATTGATTCAGCCATCCAACTTGTAAATCTTTTTTAAGGCATATAAATACGACTAATTCTCTTTTAAGATATATACTCATTTTGCCCATATTTTGAACTAGTTGACATTTTCAAAATGTACCTGTTACTTTAACAGCAATTTACCTAATAGATATTGTAAAGGTTTATCGTTAATATTATAACACAATTAATGGAGATTTATGTAAAATTGTATTTATCGTCTTGTTCTGTGGGAAACCCACGCTACTTAGATATGCATTGGCTTTGAGGTAATTAATACGCTACAATTAACAGAATAGTGTCGCGGATGTAGTGATTAAGATTGAAATTATCATATCTGTAAGCTGTCATATAATACTGGTACCAAGGATTTCTCAAGAGATCGGACTGTATATATGTATGCAGATATCTGACTGTTTATATAGGAATGTGCAACAATTATATTATTTACTGCAACCACGGAAAAAGGAATACAGAAAATACAAACCGGGAAAAATGAGAAGGATGTAACGTTTGAATAATTTTTATTCTGTTTGAGGATCTCCCAAGATTCGTTTTAAATTTCGCCTCAAAATAAGTTTTCATAACATACAAGAATCAGATTAGCTGTTTCTTGATTCATTTTTGTTTATTGCTTTCTTTCCGCCAATCAACTGATTTTGACCAAAAATAAAAGACGTATATACTGGCAGCAAAAAGCCAGTTCCAATGACTGTTGAAAAATATAATATACAGGGTGTTTCAGTTTATTGTTGCATAATTTTAAGATTCGATAGAACTTTTAAAATTAATGCATAAAGTCTATGTAAACATGGGTCGAAAAATGCGTGGCTTCCGAAATAAATTTACTTTCTAAAATAGTTTTTTTTTTCGAACAATATTTGATGTATAATAGTGAAAATTGGTATACGAGGGTTTTTTGGTACGACAAAACGAACCATGGGCATAGTTTTACTGTAGCCGCTAGAGGGCGCTCTCTACTGTACCTGTAGTGTATTAAAATGACCGAAATTTTTTTCCTAATGCAATTTTTTGCTTTTTGAATAAAAAAACTGATTCTTCGCACTTTTCAATATAAAAAAGCTCTCTTGTGAATTTTCGTTATAGTTAGCCGTTTTTGAGATATTTCGATTTTTAAGGTTCGATGCATTTTTAATTATTTATGATAAAATAACATTAAAAAGTCGTATCTCGATAATTTTTAGAAGTAGGCTGTGCCTGCAAATATTTTTAAAATTGAAAGCAGAATAAGGTTAAACGTCAATTAGTTGACAGATAGTTTTGTTGTCTGTTGAAACCTGAAACGTTTTTTTGCAATTGTGAATGCACGAAATTTAGTTTCTTTTACCTTTTTTTTTGTAATTTTTATAAAAATGCCATTTTTATTCTCCAATCAAGAGTTAGCGGATATTCATTTTGTGTATGGCTTTGTAAATGGAAACGCAGCAGAAGCAGCCAGAGAATACGCACGAAGATTTCCAAACAGACGATATCCAACTCGCTCAGTATTTGTAAGAGTGCATCGCCAAATAATTGAAAATGGTTTTGGAAATCTCCAAAGGGATCAAAACATAAATGTTCGTCAGCGCAGATTTACCCGTATGATTC